CCGGCGCACCCTGAGGCCGGCCCGGGAGACCCAAGTCGTCCTCGCGGTGCGGCTGCCGGGCTCCGCGGGAGGCGTCCCCGCTCCAAGACGGGGAGGGACCTGGTCTCCGGGCTCCGTGAAGGAAGAGGAAGACAGGAGGGGTCTTCCAGTTGGGGTGAACTTGCCTCAAAGGGGAGTGACGACAAAGGTGGGGCCCACGGAAGACAGGGAGAGGGCAGGCGGAAAGGGGAGCGGCGGGATGGGAAGGAGTCGGGAAGGCCGGAGAAGTAGCGCGGGGGCGCCTTTGGGGCTTCGCGTGGCTTCGGAAACGGAGTGTGTGACTGGGCGCGGTGGCTCACGCCGGTAATCCCAGCGCTTTGGGAGGCCGAGGCAGGGGGACTGCTGGCGCCCAGAGGGCTGGAGGGAAGCCTCACCTCTAAAGCAAAACCAAAGAGAACGAACAGCAAAAAACCCCCGGAGTGTGAAGCTGGGAGAGGGCGCGTAGGATCCCGAAAACTCTCTTTCCTCTGTGTCACGAGTCCAGCCTGCTCAATGTGGGTCCTCTCGATCGCTCCTCCCACACCCCACGGACATTGCTGAGTGTACCCCACCTTTGCGCAGACTGAGTTCTTTAATATGCTGTGATCTGCCAGTCTGTCCTAGCCTCCCCTGGACTTCCGCTAACATATGTCATAAGCCTTTTGCAAGGTCTTTCTGAATTGGCCACAGAATTCAGACGATAGGTAGTGCATGTCTGCTGACCAAAAATGTCTTTTGAAGGGACACAAAAAAGTGGTAGGAGTAACAAAGCCTAGTAGTTTCCAGATTATTGAAATAATGATATTTGATGGTGCTCTGGGTAACTTTTTTTTAACCATATGGCAGAGGCAACAATGAATTATTTGCAAGAACTATACTGAGGAAGGCAAAATAAAAGTTCTGCTATCTCTGTGAAATAGGAAAGACTTCATAAGAAGTTTAGAGTCTAGAACTGTAAAAGTAATCCCAAATATCAGATGTGGCTAGGGTTTTGAGAGGTTGTTAGTGTTCACCGATTAGCCTCAAAAAGCCACCCCATGTGGAGATACATTATACTAAAGGTGTCCTAAGCATCAGACCGTCTACAGCACAGCAGGTCATGAAGAACTGGGTAGGGTTTGTGTGAATAGAAAGATGTTTGTCTCTGAAGATTCTGAGTATGACATAAGTGACCTCTGTCAGTGGGACTTTTGATGACTTTTGTTGGTCCCTGTGACAACCTCCCGTGGGGCACCTTCGTTTCCATCCAATCACTTTGTGGCCTGTTTTAGAGATGGCTGGGGACAAGATCTTAGTGACTCTGGCTCACTGGCCTTGGTGGTCTGTGCTCTCACCAACCAAAATAATATGACCCAGCAAGCCCCCTTGATAAGAATCTAACACAGGAGACTCCCAAATGGAAGGTAAGGATTTTTTTTTTTTTTTTTTTTTTTTTGAGTTGGAGTCTCACTCTGTCGCCCAGACTGGA